GAAGCAGCCAATAGGAGCAGCCCAGCTCATTTAGTAGACTATACTGCTGTCAAAACAGACCAGAATGAGACACACTGTAGCTTCCAACTTTCTCCCTGCACACCACTCTTACTTTAAAATACAGCCAAATTCTCTGCACGATCTTTGTTTTTTCACATATATAAATGCAAAGTTTGTCCAACAAAGTGCTGCAGTTACAAAAATCGAAATTTCATTGGTGGAGAGCAGCCTCTTGGTAAACAGCTCTCCGTTAGTAATGGACCACATTAAAGTCAATGTTTCAAAGTAGTTCTCTTGTCTGACAACAGAAACCAAAAAATATACCCATGAGTGCACAGTTATTGTGAATTTGAATGAGTACAGAGATTAGAAAAGAAGCAAACAGATGTAAATGCTAACAGAAAGCCAGATGAGTTTAAGTGCACTGAAGCATATAAAGTAACACCCACACAGTGCTTTTTAAAAGGTTACTAATCTGTCTGTAAAAATTCCACAAAGTCACTGTCATTCCTCAGCATTTCTTTTCCCCCAGAGCTTTGACACGCAATCTGTGTATACAGTCAAAGCTAACAATTATGTTAGCCACATTATCTACATTTGAAAAGAACAGGGCTGCTTTAGTCGCTGTCACATCGCTGCTGTGTGGCTCTGGTGTTTAACACCTTAGCTTGATTCATAATTATCATGTTAAAACACCAAAGTCACACAAACGAACCTTTTGATGCAGCAGTAAAGCAACAGGTTGCTCTGTGATAGAAAATTTATAAGTGGAGTCTGGCTGCTTTGATAAGACAATGAGAGTGGCCTCAGTTCAGGTAAACTAACAGGGTTTTTTTTTAATTAATGTATTAATGTTTCATTTATTTATTTGTAGTAGAGACAGAACGGTAGGGAGAGACTGAGTGAGAGAAGACATACAGCTTTTCAACATATGCATCGCAGACTTTTTTCTACAGGGGGGAAATTCTGAAAAATAAAAACACATAATATAAGACCTAAAAGAAAAGGACTGTACCTTGCTTAATCCAATATTGTGGTACTTTTTCTCCATGATCTTCTTTACTGGCTCCTCCTCCTTGAATGTGATGAAACAGAAGCCTCTCCTTTTGTTTGTTTTGTTCTCCATGGGAAGCTCAACGGACTCCACCTGTTCACATTAAGACACAATTTAATGGGCAAATAGGAGCCCTGCAGAGCCACACAGAACAAGTGGGGAAAAAGATCAAACAAAATCTAATTTTCATAAGTCACTCACCTCTCCGAAGGCACCAAAATACTCTCTGACTTTCTCTTCAGGAGTGTCAGGAGAGAGGCCACCAACAAAGATCTTCTTTACTGGCTCCTTGCTCTTCATGGCCTTGGCTTTTTTGGGGTCGATCACCTTCCCATTAAGTTTATGTTCTTTCTGTGAGGCAACCTGTAAAGCAATATAGACCATTGACAAAAATTTACATAAATGAATATTTCATCTTTCATCTTGATTTAGCGGAACGGATGTTTGATTGTTTGGGTATCATTGACATCAAACTTTATAGGTTTTATTCATAAACCGCGCAGTAGTATAGTTACATTCACTCTAATTTAAGTCTATATGACAAAAAAAGGCCAAAAATGAAAATTTTCTGCTAATAATTAAATAAAACTGAAAAAAAACCCCACCCACACAGACATGAAACTGCACAATCACAGCAAGTTCATGTCTGTTAGAAAAGCAAATTCACTGGTAATTTAAAAAAACCACACACATCCACTTATGTGAACAGGATAATACCTTATCAACACTTTCAGCTTCTTTGAAGAGCACAAACCCAAAACCCCTTGACCGTCCAGTCATGGGGTCCAGCTTTAACGTGCAGTCTACCACTTCCCCAAACTTTGAAAAGTAATCTTTCAGGTCCTTCTTAGTCGTGTCCCAGCTGAGGCCTCCAACAAACATCTTCCTGTTGACAAATCACACAAAAATAAGCAGGTGGTGTCTATGTGTTGAGACTACTTTATAAGATATCTATGCAAGCTTCTTTAAACAGCTGGGCTGCTCAAAGGTCCCCTCATTTGCTACAAGTAATCTATGTAACTTGCTTAGTAAGTAATTTGTCATCAATTCATCAAACACAGCAGATCCTCCATTCATTAGGTGACTAATGAGGACCTGATTTCATCTTTTATGTGCAACCAAAATGTGAACACATAAAAGGGTTTTTCCTAGCTCAAAATGGGCCTTCACATATAAACATGTTTTGTCCATATTAAAATAGGGCAAAGAATCTGTTCCCTTTCTTAACAGAAGCCTGTTAACATCTTTCTGTTGTTTGTGACCATTTGATAAAGAGAAATGTATTTATTCTTGAGTAAATTCAACTATAATCATAAAACGCGGGGTAATTGTTTTGTTATTTTAAAGTGATGGTGATTTTTAAATGGTGTAAGTCCGAAACCCCTTTCTATATCAGAATCAGTCAATCACTTTATTGCAAGGAAAACCATGCATATAAATCCACCAGTGAAGTACTGTAGACCTGCAACCAACCAGTGCAGTGTTATTATCAAGAAAGATGGTTTTGTTTACAACTGCAGTGATAAAATGTTAAGATATTCCCTAAATTGAACCTGTTCTAATTCTTTTTAATTAAGGGATTCAGTGACCAGGTTGATATAAAGGCACTGTGACTCACAGCTGATGGCGATATATATATTTTGTAAGTCTTGTGACTTTATTTTGGGTTTTATTTCCCACCTTTTCTAAAAAGCGAAACAAAAATCCTGCACTGTAATGTATGCTCTTCATACAATTTTGGAACCATTAGCTCCACTTTTGATTGATATTGCTAACACTTAAACATTTGCTAATTATTAGCCAATATCAATGAATAGTAACCTAATGCAATCTTCTTCTTTTTGCTGCTCCCATTGAGCGTCGCTAAAAACGGATAATCTGCCTATACTTCACCCTATTCTTTGCATCATTTTCTGTCACACCACAGGACAATAACAAACCAATACTCTGTATATGCATCCGTACTTTGATTTTCTGAACAACAGGCAAAGCTGTTTTTCTAAACAGAAAACTGAAAATAATAACAAACATTCAAAAGTAAATGATATTCGAAAATATCACTTACTTTAGTCAAACATTTCCTTTTAAAACCCAAGCTTTTAAAATAGCAAACCGGTAACACTCAAACACCTCGGAAATCGTTCTAGTGTAATGTTTAGTTTATGAATGCTTGTTAAATATTCACCCCTCCTAATGAATAAAGTAGTACCCAACAATAACAATGCTAGGTCCTGCAAAAAACCGGTCCTGCAGCTACAGCATCTTTTCGATTATCAACAGTGAACCTGAGTCTATCCACCCTTCATCATCACCATACCCTTCATCCTCCTCGTTTTTACTGGCGTCGATCCTTGATCCTTCGGCCTCGCCCCCCATAAGGCCACAGTCCCCCGCTGCTGACATCGGGTCGTCACTGTTCGCCTCTCCATCCTCCTCCATTCTCATCATATTCGGGTCGTCGCTTAATTCATAATCATCCGACATATTTCGGCTTTTCCTGGAACAAGACTTAAACTAAAGCTTCACCCCTAAAGGGCTCTGAAATCAAAGCTACGTCAGATATCTCTGCTGGAGCTAAGCTAACTGTCTGGCTTCTGTCAACTAACTGATGACAGGCTAGTCGCTGGCTAATATTTTGATATCATATGCTGTTAAATAAAAT